TTTTTTTTTTTGTGATTTTTAATATTTTAAATAATTTTTAATTATTAGGAAATAAATAATTAGTGAAAACTAATAGTTGACTGAAAATGTTAAGCTTGATATTTCGCTTTAAATCTGCTTATATACGTATAAGTATTTCTAAGCGAATTCCTAAAGAGTTTTTAGAATGTTTTCTATTCTCCTGTAGCGCTATTTTTCCTTTGGTAGCGCAGAATAAAACAGTAGGTACTGCTCGAAGGAATGTGGTGACTTTAATATTGATGCAAAAGGTATGAAAGAAGACCATTGTATGTCAAGAATTACATAAAAGAGCTATACAGAAAAGTTTTTTTGCAAATCTCTCAAGATTTTCTATTACTAATCTTGAAAAATATATTTTCTTTGAGAAATCCACCTTATTAATGTAAAGTAATTTGTTTATGTACTGATTACATTCTAGTCGTTCTTAGCATCTTGTGCAACGACTTATCTTTATTTCTTGAAAGGAGTACGAAGCCACGTGTATGCATTTTAATCGCGCGGTGCGTACTTAGAAAAAAATAGATAAAGGTAGTGAAGTGACCTTTTTTCCGACGAGACCGTCGAACGGCGGAGGACCTCCTTTGGCGGCGTCTTTGGCGGCTCGTCCGCGTTCCTCGTATGACAAACGGAAGAATGGGAGAATAGCCTGGAGACAAGTTGCATCTACAGACAGTAAAGGTGGCGGAACCCAGGTTTAAATTCTTGTCACCGGCCTCGTCGTCGTGCACAGGTGGCGAGAAGTGGTAGAGCGAGGGAAAAGATGATGGTGAATATCAAAAGATGTCCATCGTTTTTTCATAATGCACTTGAGGCAGCAACTTGACATTCACGAAGTACACGAGAGTGAACATTTCATCCGTCATCAGCGACTCTTCGTGATCTCCTGCATTATTTGATGCATAATCGACATCGAGCCTAGTTGATCGAGGAATCATACTTGTATTCAAAAAGAGCAAACCCATGCTTTTTTGAGATTTCAAAGTAATTAAAAATTATCATACGATTTTCATCGATCAACATTTCAAACATTTGGAATGGCAATTTTCTATGTATATTGAAACCAGATAGTCAATATAAAAAGTTAATATTAAAAGCATTACCACTGCTATATATCGCGAAGAAAATTATTTTTGTCAATTAATACTGTCGTGCAAAATCAATGGATATGCCGAAAAGCACCGCATCTTTTGTCTACTTCTGGTGAATGTCGGTCGTTATTTAAATTAGACGCCGGCGTGTCCGCTTCCATATGCACGGAAGGCACGTTACGTTTTGACAAATGTAACGTCAACAATAAGTAGAATGGACTCGAGTTCAAAGGACGACCGCTGAGAATTCTTGTATACTCGAAAGCCGCAATCCCTCTCGCCGCTGTTAGTTTCATTTCCCGCCGGGCAAAGTGAAAAACCGCACGAAAAAAAGGCATCGTTCATTGTCCACCGGCATGAGATTCGGGGCAGGTTCTACTGTATGTAAGAGGAAAACAGCAGGTCCTTTGAGAAAATACAGGAATCCGCCGATCTTGCTTTGCGCAAATCTGATATAATTCCTACAAATACAATCAGAATTTCAGACTCAGTGATGATTTAGGCTATATATTTAAAGATCTTCGATTACATTTTTTATCACAAATTTTCTTAGTTAAAATATAAAATCTATTAGGTACAAATTAATATCCAGGATTGTAACTAGTTAAAAGTTAAATTAAAAAGTTAATAACTTTTAACTTAACTTAGTTAATTTTAAACGTGGTGTTAACTTACTTAAACTAGTTATTTTTAAATGCATTAACGTTAACTTATTAACTTCTTTTTATACAAGTTAAAATAATTCATCAATATTAAAGTCGTGTGAAAATAGTTGATCGTAATGCGAATATTTCACTTGTCTTACAACAAGTTTGTCGATTCGCTGTTGGATAGAGAATTGACTTTTAACTTTAATGAGTTAATAATTTTTTAACTTAACTTTAGCTGAGTTATTTTTTGTTTAAGTATCTTTTAATGTAAACTTAGTTAATTTTTAGGCCATTAACTTTAAACTTAACTTAATTTAAAAAAAAATTAACTTATCCAACCCTGTTAATATCAAAACAGAATCTGTTAAATGTGTCGTGTCTGCTCAATTTTTGCGATTTAAACATTCTTTTCAAGGAAATTGATTATTAGATTTTTCAGAATTTCAAATGTCATATAAATTTGTATATAATTCTTACAATAATCTGCAGGCCTTGCCGATGCTTGCTTGGATTCACGATGCTTGAGGAAGAAATCTGGGCGATTTCAATCGAACTCGTGCGACGCGAACGAGAAATTAACTGAGCGGCGGGTCGATATAAGAAATAGAATTACTGTCGTCACCGTTTAATTCCGCATCGCGAAATCGACGATAGCGCGCTGGCACAGGCAGGCAAATAAAAGAGCGAGCTAATCCCCGTTTGTTGTGCCAGGATGGATTCTCCGGCGTCACAACAAGCCACTCATGCTCTCGGTCGATGTATACTCTCATGTGCATTCGACCGGCGATAGAACCGCGAGCAGGAGAGATTAAATTTTATTTCGAAACATCGATAGAAGACGGAGAAAGAGACGCGAAGCTAAGAATGGCTGGAAAAGCACGACGATGTCCGACTTCGATTCGAACAATAGTCCGCGAGAACGCTCGATTGAACGATAATACGGGGCCAATAAGGGACAATGAGAAAAAGAGAGAGTCGACTTAGGGGCAAATATTTAGCGATGGTATAGTCCGGTCAGTTTCTTCTATCAATGGCTTTTCTTTGCTGCGTAAATACGTATTTTTTTTTTTCTCTCGTTGCGAGGAAAATGAACGCACGAGTTGCTGGTTCTCTCAGCCAAATAGGTATCAATGGCATGGATAGAGGTATTGCATAGAAATGTTTTCGGAACGAAGCGCTGAATGCGAGGATATTAAGAAGTTTGCAGGATCCTTCGAAGAGGATCTAATGTTAAGCATCGAACGGTTGAGCGGCGATGAAATGGAAAGATCTTTGCAATCTGACTGGTTGCGCACGATATTAGTTGATATTGTTCTCTGCAGACTGAGTTTTCATCTGTGAAAGAAAAATAAATTTCCAGAAATAAATATTAATCGTAATATTTAAAAAACCAATATATTATACAAAGTGAAGAAATGTGCTTAAACAAATTTTGAAAAGAAATTAATTCTCAAGAAAAAAAGTTGAAAAAAGATATTATAAAATTTAGATTTGCAATGGGAAAGAGGACTGACATACGATGGAATGCAATTTACAGAGTTCGTCTTCATTAAGATCTTAATTACTTTAGACAGCATCCTGTGTGTGTATAATTTCCATAACGGATTAACAGGAGAGGCTTTTATAAAAGGTGCTGGAAATCATCACCGTCGACGATAAAATTTTATAAGTACAACCGATCACGATGAAAGGCAGTCGATCATAAAACGTATCAATCCTATGAAAACGCAGCAAGATGGCGGTGAACCATTGGAGGTGACCATTGCTTGCCTTTTACGAGGACTTTATGGATACTTTAATGACTACGGCGTATGTAGCGTGCATACGCAGAAAACATGAAGCTGTTTCGTGCAAGCAGATATATTGAAAGAACTTTAAATCAGGATTAAACATCAGAAATTTTTACATCGGCATATAAAATTGATACATAAATAAATAGAGATTTATATACTTATTACATTATTAATTCTTTATTTAATTTAACAAAAAAATGTAAACTATTCGTAAAATATAATAAAGTATTCTTTTCTAAATACAATTAATCATTCCGTTTTATATTATGAATTATGAAAATAAATCCGTGACGATACGCTAGAATTTTCTTTGAAATATTAGGTGAAACGTCTTGATTTCAATCATAGGAAACAATTAAGCCGTAAGAAATACGATGACTATGCGCAATAGCAATCGCCGGATACGCACATTGTACATATGATGATCATCGTCTCATCAATATCCCATTCAGAGAAAGAGGCGAGCTCATCGAGTGCGACGACGAGCCGAATGATAGTGCGACTTTTTCGACGATTTATTAATTAGCAGTGACGGCTGTTTTAACACAAATTAATAATCGCTACGAAATTTAAGCCGTCGTTATACATCATGTTGTCATTTTAATAGCGCAAAATTTTTGTCAAAAACATGCTCACAATTTGCGAATCAATCGTGAAAGACATTCCACTTGGCACGTCGTCACGGATTCAGTTTCTCGAACAGAACGGATAATGCTTGTTTATGTTAAACCAGGAAAAAATTAGGAAACTTGTGTCATAAGCAGACTACATCATTTTTCATGCCGTTTTAAGAATAGTATTGATTCGCCACAAGTTTCTCTCTCTCTCTCTCTCTCTTTCTGTATGTGTGTGTGTGTGTGTGTGTGTGTGTGTGTGTGTGTGTGTGTGTGTGTGTGTGTGTGTGTGTGTGTGTGTGTGTGTGTGTGTGTGTGTGTGTGTGTGTGTGTGTGTGTGTGTGTGTGTGTGTGTGTGTGTGTGTGTGTGTGTGTGTGTGTGTGTGTGTGTGTGTGTGTGTGTGTGTGTGTGTGTGTGTGTGTGTGTGTGTGTGTGTGTGTGTTCGTGTGTGTCTTAATTTATTTTTTGGTTTAAATTATATACCTTTGCGCCCTAAAAACTGCGCGTGGCTCTTTTGCCTTCTTATAATAAATTTGCATCTAAAATAGATATACGTAGAATAGATCGTAACACAATATAAAAGACATGTATTACATATTTTGGCATAATTTCTTAAACGTATTATGATAATAAATCTATGGATTTAAAACTGTATAAGCTAAAATAATACTAATTGCATTCAAAAGATGTTTATATTGCAATCTCTGAGTGAGATTAATTAATGTGAAAGAAATCCAGACAAATTATCTGGATATCATTTTATAATAATCCACGTTGATCGCTTTTCCCGGATTTCTTGAATATATATTGATTTTCGCTTTTATAATTCTCAGGTCGTTGCGGTGATGACTCCGATACGGAGAGCGAGCCGGGCATTCCACTTAAGCGAAAGCAACGTAGAAGCAGAACGACGTTCACCGGTGAACAACTCGAACAATTGGAAACTGCGTTTCAGCGAGCTCAGTATCCAGATGTTTATGCCAGAGAGGAATTGGCGCAAAGGACTGGATTGACGGAAGCGAGGATACAGGTACATCTCGCATTAATTATGACAATATTAATCTTAAAAAAACATTATACTATTAACGATGTTATAAAAAATAGTTGTACTTGAGTGTCTGTCTTACCAAAATTATTAATATATTTTTTTGATTAAAATTTTATAAATTATTCATGTAAAACACTAATTATATATGTATGGTTCATGAAACTCCCTCTTTTGAAAAAAGAGAAATTCGTATAAAAATTCAAGATAATGTACGAAATTATATAAGCACTTTTTTATCGCGATTACCATCAAACCGATCCCATCGCAAGGCATCGTGTGCGCTGCTTCAGGTGTGGTTCAGTAATCGCAGGGCGCGCCTCCGCAAACACGCCGGTAGCATAGCTCATTCGGTGGCCAGCCTGCCGCTGACACCGTGCCAATACGCCGCGGCTAGCCACGAGCTTGCTCAGATACCGCAGGTACCGCAGATGCCGGGCGGGATACCGCAGGTACCCACGACCTTGCATCACAGCCCGACGACGTTGCACCAGGCGCCTGGCGTGCACCAAGTGCCCGGCACCGCTCAAATGGCGACTACGATGGCCCAGGTGCCCACCACGATGAGCAGCGCTCTTCAAGGACACGCGGTTGCCATTTCCGGCCATCTCGGCTCGCTTCCGGCGCACGCGGCCTCCATGCAACTCGCGCAGGTGTCGACGATGCAGCCACCAGCCGCGCATGGTGCGCCGACGTCGCTTTCCCACAACACCGGTACGTATTTTATAATCTTTGAGATTCTCTAAGTTCTTAAAAGACATTTCAAGATTATGGTATATTTTAGGAATATCTCCATGTTTCAAATATTTCTGAAAAAATTTATTTGTTACATCTCTTTCTCTCTCACTCATAGATCTTCATTTCTTTGATATCCCAATAAAGTAATCTGTAAAGAGTTGCTGATCTTGAATTTAAAATCTGAAATTGTTCAAATACATGCATGTATATATATACAATTAATTCAAAATTTTACTTTTAATTTGAAATTCCATCAAGATCTCTATCGGGATCTGTATTCGTCTTTATCTTTAGGTAGTACCGATTGGTCCAGGACGCAGCTTGGTTGGGGACAATTCAATCATTTCCAGAGCGGTGAGTACGGCTCGAGTCATACCGGTGGTCATCAGCATGGATCGCATCCGGCACAGAATACCCAGTCGTCAAGTACCACGAATACCATGGCGGCAACGCCGGATTGGTACGATCAAGGCTACGATTATGTTCCACATTCTCAGCTTAATTATCATCGTAGCGTAGGTGGAATATTTTAGCCGATCAGTTATTGTACAGAGATTAATTGTAAAAAAGTGCGTTAAAGATGTTAATATTTTCAATGTACATAATTATTATATTGTATATATAATATATTATTAATCTATGAGTTTTTATATATTTTCATATTAAATTTTCCTCTCTGAAAGATGTTGCAGTACTTGAACTAGAATTAACACAATATTATGATTGAAGAAAACTTCTAAATCACGAAAGGTTTTTTGATTGTTAATTGATTTGTTCTCTTTTTTATCAGAAATGTTTAATTATGTTTATTTAGAAGGAAAACTTAGAGCAAGACGTGACGTATATTTAAATTTATAATTCTATTATATTTTATAAAAAATTATATACGTGATATTTATAATTTAAATTTAATTCACGGAAGAATCGCACATCAATTATAAGAAGATATCAGTCATTAAAACTTGTTACTTGTTAAAGAGATACGGAAATTTATCGCAAAATTTATAATAGATTTTATCATTCTTTACATATAAGAGAAACTTTAATATCTCGTGATGATATTATGACGTAAAACTAAACGTGTACTTGAACGATATCGTTATCTCCCGCGAACTATACATTGCAACACATATCCATACGTAGATATAAAAGGAAACAATCGAGTCTTTCGAATTTCATCGAATTTACATCAAAATGGATAGACGACGTATTCAATTGGCGATCTTTTTGGTAAGTATCTTTAACATCATGCTATAAATAATATATACAAATTTGTAAAAACATGTTTGGCTAATATTGTTGCATGCACAAAAAGTAAATAAATGATACATTTTGGTTAAAACATATTTTCACTTTAAAAAAATATAATAATAACATAAAATTATACGTCTTTTTCTTTGCTATTAGTAAAACAAAATAAATTTAATTTGTTTCATCAAACGTAATATATTTAGATTCAAAAAATTTGGATCAATTTTGAAGACAAAATTTGTGCAGCAAATCAAAATTTTACAACTACATATTTCTGTAAATTATCAACATAATTCCGCATTTTTTAGACACTCATCTTCAGTTGCGAAGGCAAGAATTTAAGTATCGAACCATCTACATTGATCATTAATAATTCTGAAAATTCCAATGACAATAATAATGTCGCAAATATTAATGACAATGTGAATGGTAATTTAGTGCCTCTTCCTTTAATAATTAATAACTCTGGTAATGATACCAGCAACAATGGAGTGTCAAACAGTAATGATAAAGTCGATGGGAAGATCGTAAATGGAAACAATAACGGAAACAAGAATAATTCTGGTAACCTTAACAATGATAATCCGGCTGTGCCGCCTCCTATAATTAATAATTCGAATAACAACAATAACAACAAAGATGTATCCAACGGAGACGAAGATGTCAATGGACACGTGGTGAATGAAAATGACAATGGCAATAATATTAATTCTGATAATGTAAATTCCGATAATTCGGAACCAATAGTCGAAAATCCGAGGTCGATACATAGCATAGAACCGTTGATAAGTATCATTATTGAGTGGATAATACGCGTAAACATCGGTAACAATTCTTGAAATGATTTACTATAACATATAAAAATTATAAATTAGTATTTATATCCTTTAATCTGCTTTTATTTTTTGAACAATATAGTTGTTGATTATGTAAAATTATATTGATTATATAAAATTATTATTAATTATGTTCTAGTATTACATATAATAATTATATATTATTATATGTTTAACAATTTGTATATTGTTTATCTACAAAATTGTTACAACAAACTAATAATAAAAATAATGTGTAAAATAAATGTGCGGAAATTCTAAAATGTTTGATAGAGATATAATTTTCTTCTGATTTTTTTAAAATGTCGATTTTTGTCACACAATTTTCTCTATAATATATTATTAAAAACAAAAACGACAAAGTCTGCGCCTAATATCATGCAAGAGTTCCAGAAAATATCTCGTAAATACATTTTATCTTCAGTGTCAGAGAGAGAGAGAGAGAAAGAGAGAGAGAGAGAGCCACAAACATCTGATTCGCCAAAAAAATGCATATTGACTATAATTAAATATGAATTATTAAGATTTGTGGTTTCTTAAAGAAATAAGAAAGTTTATCGCAAAAATTTACAACAGTTTTTATCATTCTTTATATAAGAGAGACTTTAATATCTTGCGATGATATTATGACATAAGACTAAACGTGCACTTTAGTTATATTGTTACCTTCAGCGAACTATACATTGCAACACATAAATGTGTGAATTGTCCAAATATTATATAAAAAATGGTAATGCAAATTATAAATACTTAAAGGGATTATTTCTAATATGTCGAAATGTTGTACATCAAAAATAATTTTTCTTTTCTTTTTATTATAACTTTTATAATTTTTTGTCAAAGCAGAACAATAATATTCTTTGTATATTGCAATTTATTTTTATTAATTTTAAAAAATGCGTCAAGAAATAGATTATGATTTTCTGAATGATATGTATGAAAATTTTCGAAATACATTATCAAATGAATTTATTACTAGTTAATAGCTTCTCTGATTCACAATCATATTTAGATGCATCATATATTTGTCTCTGCACGTACGTATCAATACAATTTAAAAAAATTGCGTAGATATAAGAGGAAATAGCCGAGTCTCTCGAAATTCACCGAGCTTACATTAAAATGGATAAACGTCGAGATACAGAATTGGCAATCTTTTTGATAAGTATTTTCAACATGACAATATAAATAATATATAAGAATATTTAAAAACATGTTTAGCTAATATTTTTACATTCATAAGTAAATAAATAAAATTACATCTGTTTATAAGTTCTTTGCTATTAATTAAACAAAATAAACTTAATTTGTTTCATGAAGCTTGATATATCTAGATTCAAAAAATGTGTATGGATCAAATTTGATTAAAGAAAAATTTGTGCAGCGAGAAAACCACAATCTTACAATTACGTTTTTCTATAAATTATCATCTACATATAATCGCGCATTTTTTAGACGCTTATCTTCAGCTGCGAGGGCAGGAATTTAAGTACCAAATCATCTGCGTTAATCATGAACATCTCTGAAAATTCCAACAACAATAATAATGTCGCAAATACATATTAACGACGATGTGAATGATAATTTAGTAAAAGAAAATAACAATGGAAAAAGTTTCAATTCGGGTAATGTTACCAACGGCAAACCTGTTGCGTTGCCATTAATTATTAATAATTTTGGAAATAATAATGACAACAACAACGTGTCGAACAGCAACGACGACGTCAACGGTAATCTTCTGAATGGCAACAATAACGATGACAATCAGCAATCTGGCAACTTACAACGGCGGAACGCACGAAACATGTGCTGGCCTTTCCTTTAATAATTAATAACTCTCGTAATGATAATAGCAATGGATTGTCAAACGGTAATGATAAAGTTTAAATTTGTAATTTTATTATATTTTATGAAAAATTATATACGTGATATCTATAATTTAAATTTAATTCGCGGAAGAATCGTACGCAGGTCAACTATAAGAAGGTATTAGTCATTAAAACTTGTTATTTGTTAAAGAGGCACGGAAATTTATCGCAAAATTTATAATAGATTTTATCATTCTTTACATATAAGAGAAATTTTAATATCTCGCGGTGATATTATGAGTTAACGTGCATTTGAATGATATCGTTATCTCCCACGAACTATACACACAGATGCAATACATATCCATACGTAGATATAAAAGGAAACAACCAAGTTTCTCGAATTTCATCGAATTTACATCAAAATGGATAGACAACGAAGAGTTACAATTGGCGATCTTTTTGGTAAGTATCTTCAACGTTACGGTATAAATAATATACACAAATATTTAAAAACATGTTTAGCTAATATTTTTGCACGCACAAATAAGTAAATAATTGATACATTCTGGTTAAGACATATTTTCATTTTTAAAAGATATAATAATAATAAAATTATACGTCTTTTTTTTTGCTATTAATAGAACAAAATAAATTTAATTTTATGTTTCAAACGTAATGTACTGAGATTTAAAAAATTTGGATCAATTTTGATTAAAAACAAAATTCGTGCACTGAATCAAAATTTTACAACTACATATTTCTGTAAATTATCAACATAATTCTGCATTTTTTAGATATTTATCTTCAGTCGCGAAGATAAAAATTTAAGTATCAGGCTATCTACATTGATCATTATTAATTCTGAAAATTCCAACAACAATAATAATGTCGCAAATACATATTAACGACGATGTGAATGATAATTTAGTAAAAGAAAATAACAATGGAAAAAGTTTCAATTCGGGTAATGTTACCAACGGCAAACCTGTTGCGTTGCCATTAATTATTAATAATTTTGGAAATAATAATGACAACAACAACGTGTCGAACAGCAACGACGACGTCAACGGTAATCTTCTGAATGGCAACAATAACGATGACAATCAGCAATCTGGCAACTTACAACGGCGGAACGCACGAAACATGTGCTGGCCTTTCCTTTAATAATTAATAACTCTCGTAATGATAATAGCAATGGATTGTCAAACGGTAATGATAAAGTTTAAATTTGTAATTTTATTATATTTTATGAAAAATTATATACGTGATATCTATAATTTAAATTTAATTCGCGGAAGAATCGTACGCAGGTCAACTATAAGAAGGTATTAGTCATTAAAACTTGTTATTTGTTAAAGAGGCACGGAAATTTATCGCAAAATTTATAATAGATTTTAGATATTTATCTTCAGTCGCGAAGATAAAAATTTAAGTATCAGGCTATCTACATTGATCATTAATAATTCTGAAAATTCCAATAACAATAATAATGTGCAAATATTAATGAATGTGAATGGTAATTTAATAAATGAAAATAACAATGAAAAGATTTTCAATTCGAGCAACGTTACCAACGGCAAATCTGTTGCGTTGCCATTAATTATTAATAATTCTAAAAATAATAATGACAACAACAACATGTCGAACAGCGACGACAACGTCAACAGTAATCTTGTGAATGGCAACAAATACGGTGACAATCGGCAATCTGACAACGTACAACGGTGGAACGCGCGAAATCTGCTGCCTCTTTCTTTAATAATTAATAACTCTGGTAATGATACCAGCAACAATGGAGTGTCAAGCGGTAATGATAAAGTCGATGGGAAGATTGTAAATAGAAACAATAACGGAAACTACAATAATTATGGTAATGTTAACAATGATAATCCGTCTGTATCGCCTTCTACGCCTTCTATTTCGAATAACAACAATAACAACAATGATATATCCAACGGAAACAAAAGAGACGTGGAGAATGAAAATAACAATGGCAATAATGGCAATAATGTTAATGTAAATTCCAATAATTCGGAACCTATGATAGTCAAGGATCCGAGGCCGATAGCGCATAGCGTAGAACGTATTAATATTGATATTAATGATGTTGTTGCTGATATTGATACTGATTGGATACTGCATATACATCGAGTAATCTTCAAGTAACAATCTTTGAGATTATTTACTATAACATACAAAAATTATAAAATTATATTAATTAGTCATTGTATGTTAAAACTAAGACTTGGTAGCATTAAATAAAACCATATATTGCATACTAGAATATTTATAATTCATCAAAGTTAATTACTTTATATTTAAAAACTTAATATAACAAATAATTTTATAATATTATAAAATATGTAACACATTTTTCTTATTTGTTGTGTGTATACTAATTTAATTTCTCTTTTTTTTATTAATGTCACACACAAATCAGATTTGATTAAATATATAAACATGAGAAGCATTTATAATTATATATATTATGATATTTAGCAGTAAAAAATAAAAATAGGGCGAACATATTTGCGGAATAAAATTTCATATTTATTACTTCAATATTATTATCGTTTTATTGTCAGTTTGGTTATCCATTATTGTCTAGACAAAAACACATAATACTTTAAACCGTAAAGTTAAAGAGAGTCAATAGACTTATATGTCATCCACAGCAATGATAGATCGATGATATCGCGACATCGAGCGTATTTCAACTGTAATACCACATACATGTTATACAACGACGTCTCTAACGATATTTAAACGAGATACAATGAGAGAGAAAGAGAGGACTAAGATGAAAACGAATTCGCGTTATCACTATCGAACTTATCATTAGACTAAAGCTCTGAGCACTAATTTAGCATTTACATCGTACATGTTACTACGCTCACGGAGATTATTTCCTGGCTTCGTCAATCTTACTCACGTGTATGCGAACGATCGAGTTTTTAATTGTAGTCATAAGATTTCGAAGAGGAATGAAAGAAACAATATTCGTTGACGAGGGGTGAAGAGGAAGAGGGGGAAGTACCGCAGAAACGGTGCTCTATACCTAAATTTGTTACATGAAAAATGCCCCTTTCATCTTTCTTTTGTGTATGTATTCTCTTTAATCTTTAAGTCTTCTTTAAATATTTTTGCGATCAATGCATGTCACCTCGTCTTTGGCTCATTATAAGAAAAATGTATACAGATAATTGTAATATTTTGAGAAAAATAAAGTGAAACATATATATCGTATCATAATTGCATA